TTTTAAACCTATACCCATTCAAATGCACAGCCTTAAAGAAAGCTAAGCCCCTATGTGCTTATACTATGGTATTATACTGTGCTTAAAGCTATGGCCTGACTTTACAAAGGTAAAACACTCTATATAGCAATACCACTATACAGAATTATATGATATAGATAGGTACTGTTTGTAGAGCTGTGTTACCCTATCACTTTATTGTTCAGTGTGATGCTCTCTTTGTCAGAAAGATGACCTCTACTTCTCCCTCTGTCATTCACTATGATGCTCTCTAGGTATGAAGGATACCTTTGTTTCCTCTCCCTCAATCATTCAGTGTGATACTCTCTGAGTTTGAAGGATGGGCTTGTTTCCCTTAATTGTTCAGTGTGATGATCTCTTGGTGGGAAGGATGACTTCTTCCTCTATCGTTTAGATAGACGTAGAGAGGATAGCTTTGTTTCCCTCTCCCTTTATTGTTCAGAGTGATACTCTATAGATGATATGGATGGTCTTGTTTTTCCCTTTCCTTGACTGTTCAGTCTGATTACTCTCTTGGCAGGAAGGATGACCTCTCCCTCTATCATTCTGTGTCAGGTAGGTTGGAAGGTAGGAAGAATGGTCTTGTTTCCCTCTACCTTGACTTTTCAGTGTGATGCTCTCTAGATGATAAGAATTGCTTTGTTTTCCTCAAATGTTTATAACGATTCTCTCTTGGTGGGCAGGATGACCTCCTTCTTTACTGTTCAGTGTGATGAACAGGTGGGAAGGATGGCCTGGTTTCACTCTCTTTCTGACATTTTGTGTGATGCCCTCTGGATGGCAAGGATGTCCTTGTTCCCTTGCCCTCTATTGTTCATTGTGATGCTTTCTGAGTGGGATGAATCACGTTTTCTTCTAACTCGATCACTGAGCTTGATGCTTTCTGGGAGGTTTCCTTTCCCACTATGATTCAGTGTGATGCTTTGTGGTGGGAAGGATAACCTTGTTTTCCTCTACCTCAATCGACCCAGTGTGCTGCTCTCTACATGGTAAGAATGGTCTTGTGTCCCTCTTCCTCAACTGTTTGTTGTGATGTTGTCTTGATAGGAAGGAATGACTTCTCCCTCTGTTATTTAGTGGGTTGCTCACTGGGTATAAAGGAAGCGGGTCTTGTTTCCCTCTAATTCTATCACTCAGTATGATGCTCTATGGGTCAAAAAGATGTCTTTATTTTCCTCTCCTATAATTGTTCAGTGTGATACTCTATGAGTGGGAAAGATAGGTTTGTTTCCTCTCCCTTGATCTTTCAGTGCGATTCTCTCTGAGTGGAAATGATGGGCTAGTTTCCCTCATATGTTCAGTGTGACACTCCCTTGGCTGGAAGGACAGCCTCTCCCTCTATCATTCAGTGTGAGGTAGGTTGGAAGGATGGTCTTGTTTCCCTCGACTGTTTAGTGTGATGCTGTCTTGGTGGGAAGGATGACTTTCTATCGTTCAGTGTGACGCTGTCTACATGGTAAGAATGGCTTTGTTTTCCTCAGTTGTCTCTTGGGGGGCAGGATGACCTCTCTTTCAACTGTTCAGTGTGATGAACAGGTGGGAAGGATGACCTGGTTTCACTCTGTCCTTGTTCCTTGCCCTCTATTGTTCACTGTGTTGCTTTCTGGGTGGAAGGAATCACCTTCTTTCCTTCTAACTCGATCATTGAGTTTGATGCTCTCTGGGAGGTTTCCTCTCCCTCGATCATTCAGTGTGATACTCTCTGAGTGGGAATGATGGGCTTGTTATTCAGTGTGATGATCTCTTGGTGGGAAGGAGGATTTCTTCCTCTATCTTTCAGTATGACTTAGGTTGGAAGGTAGGAAGGATGGTCTTGTTTCCCTTCTCTCTCGAGTGTTTAGTGTGATGCTCTCTCAGTGGGAAGGATGACCTCTCTCTCGTTCAGTATGATGCTCTCTAGATGGCAAGAATGGTTTTATTTCCCTCAATTCTTCATAATGATTCTATCTTGATGGGCAGGATGACCCCTATCTCAGTGTGCTGAACAAGTGGAAAGGATGGGCTGGTTTCACTCTGTCATTTAGTGCGATGCTCTCTGGGAGGTTTCATCTCCCTCAATCATTCAGTGTGATACCCTCTGAGTTTGAATGCTGGGCTTGTTTCCCTTAATTTTTCAGTGTGATGATCTCTTGGTGGGAAGGATGACTTCTCCCTCTATCATTCAGTGTGATGCTCGCTGGGCAGGAAGGATAGCTTTGTTTCCCTCTCCCTTTATTGTTTAGAAAGCTACTCTACAGATGATATGGATGGTCTTGTTTTACCTTTTCCCTGATTGTTCAATGTGATACTCTCTTGGCTTGAAGGACGACCTTTCCCTTTATCATTCAATGTGGGGTAGGCTGGAAGGTAGAAAGGATAGTCTTGTTTCCCTCTCCTTTGACTGTTACATGTGATGCTCTCTCAGTGGGAAGGATGTGTGATGAACAAGTGAAAAGAATGGCCTGGTTTCACTTTCCATCTGTCATTTAGTGGGATGCTCTGTGGATGGCAAGGATGTCCTTGTTCCCTTGCCATCTATGGTTCAGTGTGATGCTTTCTGAGTGGGCGGAATCACCTTGTTTTCTTCTAACTCAACCATTGCGTTTGATGCTCTCTGGGAGGTTTCCTTTCTCTCTATCATTTATTGTGATGCTTTCTTGGTGAGAAGAATGGCCTTATTTTCCTCTACCTCTATCATTCAATGTGCTGCCCTCTACATGGTAAGAATGGTCTTGTGTCCCTCTTCCTCGTCTGTTCGTTGTGATGCTCTTGATAGGAAGGATGACTTCTCCCCCTGTTGTTTAGAGTGTTGCTGTCTGGGTATGAAGGGGGTCTTGTTTCCCTCAAATGTTCAGTGTGATACTCTCTTGGCTGGAGAGTGACCTCTCCCTCTATGATTCAGTGTGAGGTAGGTTGGAAGGTAGGAAGGATTGTCCTGTTTCCTTCAACTGTTTAGTGTGATGCTGTCTCAGTGGGAAGGATGACTCTCTCTCTAATTCTTTTACCCAGGATGATGCTCTATGGGTCAGGAAGATGTCTTTATTTTCCACTCCTATAATTCTTCATTGTGATGCTCTCTAGATGGGAAAGACGGCCTTGTTTCCCACTTCCTTTATCATCAAGCATTACTGCATCATACAGAATTATGCTCTCTAAAACTGCTGCACTGTTGTTCTTTTTTTTCACAAAACATCCTGAACCTCAGAGACTCATCTTGGCACTTTAGAATAGTGCAGCACCTAGCTGTTACCGTATCTGCCCTAAACTGGCTTAACTGCATGCTGTGTTTCCTCTGGCAGGTTTACCACTGTAGCTGCCTTTAGCACAACAAAAGCACACAGAAAAGGCAAACACCACTCATAAAAATGGCTCCATTCAAACCTTCTTACAAACACACACAGTGGTTGTGCATTGTGAGATGGAAATGTCAAAACATTGAGTGTCTCTGCTAAGTAACACAATATGGTCAAACTAATCACAGTATGATGTTAAAATGGAAAGGAACATCCAAAATCATAAACTTTGATAAATAACACAATTAAACCTGGCTATGTTTACATGCACATCAATATTCCCACAGTAGTACATTTTAGTTTAGTGATATTCAGGCCAGAAGTAAACACTTTTAGCATATGAATAGGAAATACAGTTCAGCAGGTACCAACATTACTATGTTGGTACCTTTCCCAGCACATTTGAAGACTTTCGTATATCCTATAGGTATAATAAAACAGTCAAGATAAATAAAACCACCAAAAACTCTACAAACATTGTGAAACTTTTGAACAATGCACATTTTCACTGCTCTTACTCTCTGAGCTGTCATGTAACCACGGAAATAATTTACTGTCTGGTTGAAATCTAATACAGATGATGTCTCATGTCCCTTCTATTTATTGGTTTGGACAGTAGACTATTTTAACTGCAACATCATGGAAACAAGGTACTTCATCCTGTGCCATCCCCAAAGCAGTATTTGCACCATCTTCAAAATTGATTTCGTCTCAGCTTCGCTGCACTGCAGACCACTTAAAGAGCTGAAGCAATCTTCCAAATCCTCTTGGTAGCTGCACAACAGCAGCCAATTGTCAAACAAATGTCAGTTTTCTCTAGAAGTGATTCCCATCATCAGTCTTTCTGATGCTGAATTCCCACATGACACTTAACAAACAAAACTCTTCTGTAAAAAAACACAATCATCCTTGGAACTTGAGACTTTTGCACTACTAGCACTACGGTATTACTACCTAGACTCATTCAAACCTATCCACAGTGGTATCCCTCTACAAAGCTATTCCCATATACAGGCCTATGGCCTGTTATTTTATAAAAAGTTGTAAGAGTCAGAGTTTTTCCTCTATTACAGATCTGTGCCATTTTGCCCAGCTAGAACCCTCTATGTTGCTATATCAGTACACAGAGGTCTTTTATGTGAAGCTGTACTGTTTATAGGACTATGGCTTCATTGTCTGTTGCTCTCTGGGTGGAGAAAAGCTTGTTTTCTTTTCTTCTGTTATTCAGTATGCTGCTCTTTAGCTGCTCTCCCCCTTTTTTGTTCAGTGTGATGTTTGCTGGGTTGTAAATATGGCCAATTTGTATCTGTGGACCTTAATGGAAGCTGACACAGTTAATTCCCACTAATATCTAATAACAAGAGTGCTTTCATATTTAACTCATGGAAACAATAATCCGCCTACCGCATCAATAGAAATGCCATATTATTACCCATTCACATAAACCATACTTTGAACTTCAGGGACGTTCAGGCTGGCGTGTGCATGGAAACATAGCTATTTTTAAGTGTGTACAGCCAGTGGTCAGTGGTCAGCTCTGTGGGTTCTTATGTATGAAAGAGACAGACCTCTCCTGTAAATATTCGGGATTTGAGGTCGGGCATACCACTCCCTCTCAACTCATCCTCCACCGCCATCAGCCTGCAACACAACACACAACAACACAATCACACAACAACACAACGACACAATGACACACCACACAACCCAATCACGCAACACAATCATACACCAAAGTCACACAACTCATCCTCCACCGCCATCAGCCTGCAGCACAACAACATCATGCAATCACACAGCCATACGACAGCAACGCGTACACACAAAACACAAACACACAACATGCCATTCACACACAATACCACAACCATACAACAGCACAATCATGCAGAACACACATCAATCAATAACACAACCGTTCAAGTAACATCACAGTCACAGAAAACAGGATCACGCACAACACACAACACCTCAATCACACAGTACCACAATCAGACAACAACACAACCAGACAAAACATGACAACATGCAAGAACCCAGTCACATGACACACCGCAGCACAAACACACAACACAAACAAAACAATTATACAAACACAACAACCCAATTACACAACACACCACAGCACAAACACACAACACAATTATACAAACACAACAACCCAATTACACAACACAACACAACACAAACAAAACAATTATACAAACACAACAACCCAATTACACAACACATCACAGCAAAAAAACACAACACAATCCAACAAAACAATCACACAACACACAACAACCCAATTACACAACACACCAAAGCACAAAAACACAACACAAACAAAACAATTATACAAACACAACAACCCAATTACACAACACAGCACAGCACAAACACACAACACAAATAAAACAATTATACAAACACAACAACCCAATTACACAACACACCACAGCACAAACACATAACACAAACAAAACGATCACACAACACACAACAACCCAAAACCACAACACAATCACAAAACACACAACAACCCAATCACACAACAACCCAATCATACAAATCAAACAAAACAATTACACATAACACAGCCCAATCACACAACACCGCCCAACAAAACAATCACACATGACAACAGTCATTCAACACAAGCAGTACAGTCACACAAAGACACAAAATCGGTTACACAATACTGTCATACAATTCACATCATATGACCACAGTCACAAAAAAACACTCAGTAACTGAGCCACACAAAACAAGTGTATAATATGCAACAACATAATCATATAATAAAAAAACAACCTAACAACTAAAGGTGAAGTGATTTCAGTTTAGTACTGAATTTATCTTCTCAGGCTTTTGTCACATGTTGATGCTGATATTTTAGTTTTGCGGCGCTAAAAAAAGACATTTCATGTAAGGTTTTATATCACTGCTGTCAGAAGAAAACCTCGCATCTCCATTTTTTGACGTTTTTCAGTTTTTGACATAATTTGAAAATACATGTTGCCCTTTACATTGTTTGTAAATTTCACAATGAATAGACTAAAAGAAACGACCCAAAATGACTTGGAAAAAATTCTGGCTCCATTGACTTACATTAAAAGTAAAGTATGTTTTTTCCTTCTCCTGTAAAGTTACCATTTTGGAGAAACAAGGTTTCTTCCGACAGCAGTGATATGAGGCACTGTTTATAGCTGTACTGCTTTATAAAATTACATTTTTGCAAAAAGACATGCTACTTCGCAATGTTTTGTTTTGAAATAAAATACATAAAACCAATTGTTGTGGTTTTATAATTGGAGCTCAGAAGAATCAAGACTTTCAAAAACATAAGATCAAATTGAGTTTTGAACTCAGGATATGAAAATCATATCACACACAACATCATATTCTATCGTTAGATGTCAGAGGTCAGTACTTTCTACCTTTCATTCTTCTCCCCTTTCAACATGGCTAAATAATTTCTTTTGAGCTCTGCTGAACATACTTTTGATAGATGGGCAGATAAATTCAATATACATCTGGAACAGGTTAAACTCAAATCTGCATAGAATTAAAGCAATGAACCAAAAAAAGAAGAATAGATCACATAAAGTTCACACACAGTTATTTTACAGTAATTGTCTTCAGGTAGGCCCAGGAAATCAATGGTTTCAGTAAGTCCAGACCAAGACGACATGTGTGGGATAGATTTTTCGCATAACTGATTTAGACTAACAGAAGTTCTTAAGCCAACATAACAATACATTAGGACATGGCTCCTGTTCTCTGGTCTATGGCTGAGACTGCTGAACTATCACACATATGCACAAACAAACATACACTGGACCTCAGTGGGATTATGACCTGCTGATGATGTCTTTGATCTGTGTGTCCTTCTCCATCTGCTGCTGCCGCAGCCTCCTTTCGCTGTCGTCCAGCCGGCTCTGGTACTGCAGCAGGATCTTGTTGGTCTGCTGCTCCTGAGAGTGCAGCCGCCGCTCATACTCTTCCAGCTTACGGTGGGACATCATCAGGCGCTCCTTCAGAGAGTGGATCTCCTCCTCATATTCCCGCACCTGCGTACACACAGTTAAAACAGTAAGTCTAGTTTTAGTTTGAGTCTTTCTCAAACACAACATTGATTCACAACAATACACACAGGAGAACACACAAATGGACAAGCCTCCGCAGACTCCTCGGTCAGCAGGAGAGGAAGTTCTTCAGCAGGTGGGCAAATTTTTCTCAGTCAGTGGAGAAAGAAACTCCTCTGTGGCAGAAAAATGGTAATGGGAGCTTAAACCCACCAATAACAATACGGGCTCATACTCACCAGTGATAATGGAAGCTTATGCCCACCAGTGGTAATGGAAGCTTATACAAATGGTAATGGAAGCTTATACCCACCAATGATAATAGAAACTAATACTGAATTATTATAATGGAATTTACACCCATCAGTGGTAATGGGACCTTATACCACCAATAACAATGAAAGTTTATACCCACCAGTGGTAATGGAAGCTTACATAAATGGTAATGGAAGCTTATACCCACTAATAACAGTAGGAGCTCATACCCACCAGTGGTAATGGAAGCTTATATAAATGGTAATGGGAGCTCAAACCCACCAGTGGTAATGGAAGCTTACATAAATGGTAATGGAAGCTTACACCCACCAATAACAATGGGAGCTCATACCCACAAGTGGTAATGGAAGCTTATTCCCATCAGTGGTAATGTAAGCTTTCATAAATGGTAATGGAAGCTTATACCCACCAATAACAATGGGAGCTCATGCCCACCAGTGATAGTGGAAGCTTATGCCTACCAGTGGTAATGGAAGCTTATATAAATGGTAATGGAAGCTTATACCCACCAACAACAATGGGAGCTCATACCCAGTAGTTGTAATGGAATCGTATGCCCTCCAGTGTGAATGTAAACTTGTATCCACCAATAATAATATAAGCTTATACAAATGGTATTGGAACTGTATAACCACCAATGGTAATGGAAGCTAATACTCGCTCATAATAATGGAATTTATACTCACTAATGGTAACGGAAACTTATACCCACAAAAACCAGTGAAAGTTTATACTCACCAATAAGAATGGAAGCTTACCCCCACCAATTCACTTTAAAAAAAGTTTCTGTCTAAATCATCACACACTTGCCTCAAACTGTGTTGAGCTGTTAAATAATCTCAAATAGATTTGCTTACGTAGTTTCTTACACTGTATGACATACTGTTAACTATAACAATGGATAAGAGTATGGACCCAATTCAGCCTTCAAGATGGCTAATACTGTTTCTGTGTGAGGCACTTTTGTAATTTGAGCATGAGGTAAATTGAGTATGAGCTTCCATTGACTATGTAGCTTCAAAACCAAAGAAATAAACTTTGAACACCAAAATGTCCGGCTGGATGGTTAACTGCATTTGGGCCAAGGGAAACTGCGTAAATCTGATTATTTGCTGAACTGCACACATTCACATTTTAGGCATTAGACAGTACATCTGATGCTAGATGTACCATGTAATCAGCGTGCACTCTGGCTGCGAGCCACTCACCCGGTCCAGCCGAGACTCATCCATGCTTTTAGAGTGCTCCTTCAGTTTCAGGTCCTCTCTGTCCACACGCAGGCTCTCGATGTCCGCAGACAGGTGGGGCATGTTGGATACCCAGGCCACTGTCCGCTCAGACGCAGGGGTTGGCGGGTTCAGTGTGGACGGAGACTTAGAGCCCTGATAGCAAGCATACAAATAAACAGACAACCAGGTAAGCAAATGAATTATAAAGTAGATGCTACTGCGTGTCTGCCCTAGTGGATGGAAGGTTCAGGTATATTAACTCTAATAAGTCACAGCCATAGCCAGCGATAACAAAAGCATGTTGTAATTTTAAATGCACAATTTCTCACTCATGGCTCAACGAAACAAGCAGAGACATTCTGTGTATTCTAAACTTTCAATCCACAGCACATCTGTAAGTAGAGGAGGTTGTATTTTATTATGACCTGATTTGGATGAAGCTTTCTGTCTGACGATGGAATAAATGGGGAAAAGTCAGAAGTGCAGATTTGAATCTGTCGATACTGAATGTAAATTGAGTTTAAATGTCATTAACTGTGTAACCACCTTTGTAATTAATCATGTAGTTGTGCAAATACATTTAAATACATACAAAACAGCGAAACAACAATACCTTTAGACCTCTAAGGTTTAAAAGGTATACTTGTGAAGGATGAATCAGCTTTACAGGGTATCATCTTAGAATAAGACTTTAGAATAAGATCTTATTGAGGTTTTGTGAAAAATCAGTTTATTAATGGTTATTAAGTAGGTCATTAAAACCTCATAAATCATTAATAATCAGTTATAACACATTAATAAAAAGGGCAAAAGTGAGCTGTTCGATGTGATATATGAATATCTGATAAAACTGACAGGTTTATTGCTGATTTATTGCTGCAGATAAGTAAAGTAACCAGCAAGATTAGAGCTTTAACAGTATAAAAGAACGTGGGTTCACTGTTAGACAAACAACAGGTTGTGTAACACTATTATCAACTTTATGTGCTGTAACAGCTTCCTAATGAAGGTGTGTATGACTTATTTAATAATCATTAATAAAGTAATTTTAAACTATTCATAAACCCGTTCTAAGGGTGGTCTTGTTCTAAAGTGGTACCCTTTACTGTGTATCAGTTCTTTCCGTGTACCTGTTTGTTAGTAGTTGGTTTCAGTAGGTGCTGTTGGTTGGTTTGCGGAGCGGGTTTAGCAGGCGTCTCACTCGGCGTATTCTCTGCATTCTCAGTAGCGCCCCCCTGTGGCTGGCTATCACTAGCTGTGCTGGACTGATGCGGGAGGCCGGGCGCAGGGCTGTCCTTGACGGACAGCTGTTGCCGTGGCAACGGCCTGGCCCCGAAACTCGACTCAGGCGACTGAAGGAGGTTTCCACTCTGGGGGCGGGCCTTGGGAGGGGTGGAGTTAGCAGCTGAGCTGACTGACAGCTGGTGGGAGGGCTGAGGCTTCACACGCTGTGGAGCGGGCGGGGCCATAGAGGCCTGACGGACAGGGTGGATGGTGGTGGGGGGTGTGGCGACTGAAGCTGGTGTACCAGTGCCTGTAGCAGTCTGGGGAGCCATTCCCATCAACACCTGCTGCTGAAGGTTCTCCTATGGGCAAAGAATATACAGAATAAATGTACATTATATACATAAAAATATATTCACAGGCAAATTCACTGCAAATTATTACTGTATCAACGACAATAATAAGGTTAGACCCCTCTTTTTTGTCATTTGCCACATTTGTCACAGGCCAAACTGTAAATGAAGTCAGTCAAAATACAGTCAGCTCCATAATTCTTGGGCAAGTATAGATTAAAAAAATTGGCACCCATAGATGTTCTTATGAACAAAATATTAACATAAATAATTAATATTTCACTTTCCACAGGGGCTTCCAGGAAGGAGTCAGTAGGCCAAATTCTCTTAGGATGTGTTCAGACTGGTTTGATTTGAATAACCCTGATGCAATTAATACACTCTCAGAAGTAAAGGTACTGTACTATCATTGGGGCAGTACCTGTCTTGTCACTGGGGTGGTACTCTTGTCTCAGTACCTTTAGTCAGGGAACATAACTGTACCAGAATCCACTGAAATTATGTTTTCTAAGTTGTATTGACTCCACACACCCCGTCTCGTCTCCAGGCTTTTATTTTATTGTTCTGTTTTACAACATTCGTTTATATTCGGTTATGAAAAGGTACAAATATGTACTTTTTACCTGGAAAAACTTATTTAAGATTCACAATTGGACCCTAAAACCACTGTTGTACCTTTGAGGGAACACTTACATTGTTTGTACCTTGATGAAGGAAAAATGTACCAGCACAGAACCTTAATTTCTAACAGTGTACAGCTCATTAGCGCAAGTGAGAGTGTTGCCATCTGAAATCTAGCACGCGCCAAATAAGCAGGCTGAGATGCCCTGACTAGGTCAGCCTTGGTCCCCTTTAAACAACTCTGGTACAGTTCATTTGAAGTATGAATGGAATACAGGCCAAAGACATTTAAACAGACCAAAGACTGAATGAACCTCTCTGCAGAACATCGGCGATTAGTGGAAAAGACGAGTTTCAGATTCTGCTTTGACACAAGCACGTGTTTAATCATCTCTTCATAAGCTCTGAATCATTAATCATCAGTTTCGGTTTTAAAACGAGGCTGAGGCGCACACACAAAGTACATGATGTATTAGGGGCACCATGGTTTCTCTGTTTTGTAAAAGCAGTGAGCCACTCGAGGCTGTTACAGGGATTTCGCCCTGCTTTGCATCATGTAAAATCATGGTAACGCAGGGAGTTTCATGTCTTATTGCTGGTATATCACAAGACACATAAATAAAACCAATGAGCCCAGATAGAACAGAGAACAGCACGATTCAGAAAGTTCGGTGGACATTATCACAGATATTGTACATCATCAACTCTGCCCGATCAGCTGTGACCTTTACTTGTATGGCATTTTACATCTTTTAATTCTGTGTTAAGTATGTCAGTGTGTCCGCTTAACAAACCAGAACTTATGTTCAACGTCGCAGCGAACTACAAGTGTAAATGCCTCATATTCTCAGATTCTTTTCTCTGTCTTCTCCAATTTCAAGGATTATAGGAGAAGACTCTTCGCTACTATGCTGACAAAGGGATGAAAACAAAAGTATTTGTTCATTAGGGTTTTTGCTTACTGTAATGCTTACAGTTAGGTTAGATTTCTTCCATATTGTCAGCACGAGATTGTGCTATTTAAGCACAAGGACATTTTTCAATACCTTTTTTTTCCCCAGAATGCCAATGAGCTGATGAATCCTATTCTGGGACACAAACAGTTATAAGAGGGACACAAAGAACTATAATAACAATAAAATGATAAGAAATTCGCCAGTTCTAAAACCTAAATGATCTAAATCATTAGGTGTATGGTTAAATAGAGGCTTATGAATAAACTGAATTCCTTTAATTAACAAAGTAAATAAATCATCAACTAAGTACAAAGTATTTAATTAAGTTCGAAGAGATAAATGAATTGTATTTAACTGATTAATTAATCCTGAAAATGACTCGCTTACCTGCACCTGCAGTGAGAGCTGCCTGCGTGCGTAATCAGCCTGGTTGTGGCGGGTGAAGTCGTCGCTGTAGCTGTGCGAGTGGACGATGCTGGGCTGCACCAGGCTGTTCTGCGAGCGCAGTGCCGACAGGTCCTCGCTGCGGGAGAAGCCGCCGTGGCCGAAGGCCGGCATGCCAAAGCCCACGTGGCCGTTTTCAGGCTCCGGGGCCAGCAGCAGAGGTGGTGGGGCGTGCGGCGCGTGGGGTGGTGTGTGGTACTGCGGTCCGTCCGAGGCCAGGTGGAACAGAGGGTTCTGGAAGGAGAGCGGTACGTGCATGGCCGCGGCGGCCGCTTGCTGCTGCTGGGAGAGCGAGTCCGTGGCCAAGCCACTTGGGTGACTCAGCCGCAGGCCGCCCGACATGCTGGAGCCGCCAGAGCCGGCCGAGACGCGCCCGCCGACCCGCAGAGGGGCTCCCCCCATTGGGCCGAAAACTGCCCAAGCCTGCGATGGAGCCCTGTGAGGAGTTGAGCATGTCGTTGACAGAATGCAGGTTAGAAATGCTGTTGATGCGAGAGTCCTGCAGGTCCATCATGGATACACTCTTATTCACACTCAGCACCTGGAAATGCACATACATACCAGAATTAGGACCACCAGGACCAGATCACTGATCCTTCACAAGCTGTACTTTCAACTGTAAGGGACCCATATGTTGTAGGCTTACTTTTTAAATTTTTAAATAGCACTGTAGGCTAAAATATGAAAACATGTTTTATTATTGGAAAATAGCTAAGAGAAATTTAGGTTTTCGTGGTGGATGAGTCACGGAGGCTGCCTCTTCAGATGAGCTGACACTAACCAGTACAACAGTGGCTTTTGAAGAAGACTTGTCGTCCTCTACACAAGGCCTTTTGTCTTCAGTGTATAAAGTAACAACGTTAGATTGTAAGAGAAATGTATTTTTCACTATTTCTAGACTTAGACAGCTGTGATATCTCTGCCTTCTCAGCCACAACCTTATGTCCTTGGCAACAAGCTCATGTTCAGTCACAAGTTTCGTAATAATGAAGTGTAATACAAAAAATACTCACAAATACAAGCAAAACAGTCACATTTTACAGTCTTGTTTAAATACAAAAGTGGTGTTTGCCTTATTTATCAGCATGCATATATTCTTCACATACTGAAATATAATGAATACCTGAGCAGTAATTTCAGTATTGCATTTTTGGAGATTCATTTGTTATCAAAAATCTATAAAAAGATTTACATCAGAAACAAAAATTGGTACCACTTTAAAATAAAACTACCTCTATAAAGTGTTCATGAGTGGTTTGAAATGAGTTTGTTAAGGGTTATTAATTAGGTCATAAAAACCTTAAAATCACTAATAAGCATTTACAACACATAAATAAAAAGGGCCACAGTGGCCTGTTGTTTGCCTTAAAGTGAACACTTACTCATTTGTACTGTTGAACCTTAGATTTTGATCTTTTTACCTCGCTTTTGCCCTTTTTATTAATGTGTTGTAAATGCTTTTTAATAATTTTTAAAGTGTTTATGACTTAACTAATAACCATGAATCAAACTAATTTTAAACAATTCATAAACCCTTTACAGTCTTATTTTAAAGTAGTTCCCAAAATTGTACTGAGTCTGAAAATATGTGTATGGTCACACATTAAAATGAATTACTGAATAATATTCATAAGGTTTAAGGGGTTAAGTGCTTTCAGCTGTAGTCTGCTGATGGGATGAGTGATTTCCAGGATGCAGCATCCTGTGTTCAAAAAATACTCTCACGACTATGATGTTATGCAACTAAGCTGTACGACTATAACGTAATCCTGTAATCTTAATCTTGTAATCTTGGTTTGATTTATGTTGACCAGATCCATTACAGCAGCTGTGCTTTCAAGTTTATTTTGTGGTACCTTTGGGTCCGGCTCTGTGATGTCAGAACTGCTGGTGCAGTAGGCTGGGCTTGAGCGGGCTAGTGGAGGGCGTGTCACATAGAAGACATCTTTGTTGCCACGGTGATCTCTTTCAAAAGCAGCCATGCCTGGGTGGGAGAGAGCTCCGCTCCCAGTGAGACCCGCCGTGGGAGACGGCAAGCGGGAGATATCTATAGAACTGCAGAGGGAGGGATATCTATAGAACTACAGACACAGCCTGCACTGTACAGAGATATTTACAGAACTACAGACACAGCCAGGACTGTACAGAGATATCTACAGAACTACACACACAGCCAGGACTGTACAGAGATATCTACAGACCTACAGACACAGCCAGGACTATACATAGATATCTACAGACCTACAGACACAGCCAGCACTGTACAGAGATATTTACAGAACTACAGACACAGCCAGGACTGTACAGAGATATCTACAGAACTACACACACAGCCAGGACTGTACAGAGATATCTACAGAACTACACACACAGCCAGCACTGTACAGAGATATCGACAGAACTACAGACACACTCAGCACTGTAGAGATATCTACAGACCTACAGACACAGCCTGCATTGTACAGAGATATCTACAGAACTACAGACACAGCCAGGACTGTACAGAGATATCTACAGACCTACAGACACAGCCTGTACTGTACAGAGACATCTACAGATCTACAGACACAGCCTGCACTGTACAGAGATATCTACAGATCTACAGACACAGCCTGCACTGTACAGAGATATCTACAGATCTACAGACACAGCCTGCACTTTAAGTAGATATCTACAGACCTACAGACACAGCCAGCACTGTACAGAGATATCTACAGACCTACAGACACAGCCTGCACTGTACAGAGATAGCTACAGAACTACAGACACAGTCAGCACTGTGCAGAGATATCTACAGACCTACAGACACAGCCTGCACTGTACAGTGATATCTACAGACCTACAGACACAGCCTGCACCATACAGAGATATCTACAGACCTACAGACACAGCAAGGACTATACATAGATATCTATAGAACGACAGACACAGCCAGGACTGTACAGAGATATCTACAGATCTACAGACACAGCCTGGACTGTACAGAGATATTTACAGAATTACAGACACAGCTTGCACTGTACAGATATCTACAGAACTACAGACACAGTTTGCACTGTACAGATATCTACAGAATTACAGACACAGTTTGCACTGTACAGATATCTACAGAACTACAGACACAGCCAGTACTGTACAGAGATATCTACAGAATTACAGACACAGCCTGCACTGTACAGAGATATCTACAGAATTACAGACACAGCTTGCACTGTACAGATATCTACAGAACTACAGACACAGCCAGTACTGTACAGAGATATCTACAGACCTACAGACACAGCCTGCACTTTACAGATAACTACAAAACTACTGACACAGCCTGCACTGTACAGATATCTACAGAACTACAGACACGGCCTGCACTGTACAGATATCTACAAAACTACAGACACAGCCAGCACTTTAAGTAGATATCTACAGAACTACAGACACAGCCTGGACTGTACAGAGATATCTACAGAATTAGACACAGCCTGCACTGTACAGAGATATCTACAGAACTACGGACACAGTCAGCACTATACAGAGATATCTACAGATCTACAGACACAGCCTGCACTGTACAGAGATATCTACAGAACTATAGACACAGTCAGCACTATACAGAGATATCTACAGAACTACAGACACAGCCTGCACTGTACAGAGATATCTACAGATCTACAGACACAGCCAGCACTGTACAGATATCTACAGACCTACAGACACAGCCAGCACTGTACAGAGATATCTACAGACCTACAGACACAGCCTGCACTGTACAGAGATATCTACAGACCTACAGACACAGCCAGCACTGTACAGAGATATCTACAGACCTACAGACACAGCCTGCACTGTACAGAGATATCTACAGACCTACAGACACAGCCTGCACTGTACAGAGATATCTACAGAACTACAGACACAGCCTGCACTATACAGAGATATCTACAGAACTACAGACACAGTCAGCACTGTACAGAGATATCTACAGAACAACAGACACAGTCAGCACTGTACAGAGATATCTACAGAACAACAGACACAGCGAGAACTAACCCTAAACTACAAACAACAGTATAACCTTAATTACGAAGTCAATTTTAGGACATTTATATTCTATTTAAGTATAAAGTTCAGTATAAACCAAGACCCTGAGGTGAAGATTATATCTCTAATAATTATATCTCTAGGGCTGTTTTCTCATACCTGTTCAGCTCCCTCATCATCAGACTCTGGAAGTCGTTGGTGGACGGGCGGCTGAAGGGCGGGCGGGTGAGCTGTCGTTCAGGCGGTTGGTGGCTGGCCTGGCGGTGCAGCTGGGGGTTCCGGAGGGCCACACTGATGTCATTTAGCAATCGCGGCAAAGGCCCCAGCTTTAAAATCGCATCCTGGCACAGAATTAAAATAGACCCAAAAACATGAACTCAGCACATATAAAGCCAAAGATAGAGAACAGTTTATTTTGCATGGTTGGACTGTGCATATACTTCTTTTTGCAAATGAAAGAGAAAATATATTTATTACAATTAAATGTGATTTTCTTGATTGTGGCTAACAAGCCACTGTTAGTAAATGTAGCTAGAAAATTATATTTATGTCCTTTAGCTTCAAAACACTGACATTTCTCAGAAACTGTACATTAAAATAACAAAGACTAACCCTCTAAGGTCATTTTCTTGACTTTAGCATATGGTCTTAAATTCGCCTCTAAAGACACTTGCATAGACTATGAAACCCACAACATATATCAAAATGTTCAGAACAGTCTCAGCTCTCTCTATAATGTTGTTCCATTTGGCCTAGAGCACTGTGTAAAGACATAAATTGACCATAAAGCTGAGTCCAGCTTTAGAGATTCTTAATATCTCTTGTAAACACATAGCATTTACTCATGTGGATGAATTGTTTTGGTGCTTAAAATGGGTTTAACAAAGTCTTTGCTTCACAAAAACAGTGAAATGTATGAATAAAATAGTGGATAAATGTTCTCCTTATTGAAATATCATTTCACATCTGTGTCCAAGGCAACTGAATGAAAACAGGAGTACCAGTCAAGTGGAACTGACAATGTACTGTGCTGGGTGGCACCTTTAACCTGCTAACTTAGCTTAGCCCAACAGGCTACAGCTCAAAATATACAGGTTCAATTCTGGATTTCCAGGACTCCAACTCTACGTTGTCTACATTTGTGAAAGCAGAGCACCAGCTAGTCAATCCAAACTGTACTGTGGTGTGACAATGTTTTGATTTGTAGTCCACTGGCTATGCTAACTCGGAGTGCTGCTAAATAGGAGAGAGGAGCCAGCTAGCACTAGCCTAGCTAGGGTGCTACAGGACCAAACACAATGGAATAGGTTTCATTTCAGCTTTCTGGCCCCTAACAGCAGCCACTGAACCTCACTTCCTCTGTTGAACTGCTACAGCTTCTGTTAGCCAGACTACAACCCATCCAGCTCCTCTCCCCCAGTTTGCAGCACCATTTTTGTTGTTAGATTGATGGCTTGCCATTTGTTGAACAGTGGACTGAAAATTGTGCACAATGTCAATGAAATCGCACTGAGCATGGTTTGTAAGCATATCCCATAAAACCGTGTCCGTGTGGAAATGCTCAGGACCATTTGGCTCTACAGTGGAAAAGAGGCCTTTGATGTGGATTCAAATTATGATGTGGCTGTTACCTTGCTCAGCTGAGCCATGACCTCCCAGAGCAGGCTGTGCAGGATGGAGAGCTCACGGCCCAGGTCGATGTAACCTTCGAACGCCGGGGCGTTACTGCCACACTCCACGTTACTGATCTCATAGAGGAACTGCTGCATGGAGCCCCACTCCATCTCCAGAAACTCGTTCATAAACATCATATGTTCCTCCTTACCGCTAAACCTACAGAATACACAGAGCAGAGAGGAGTGTGGGAGAGAGAGAAAGGAACAGAGAGAGAGGTGGAGCAACAGAAAGAGAGAAGGCAGAGGAGGTAAAGAAACAAAGAGGAAGAAAGAAGAGAGAAAGGAGTGACAGAGAGAAGAAGGAGAGAGAATGACAGGAGGAGACAAACATGACAGAATAGAGAAAGTAAAAAGACAGAAAAATGATGAGGGGAAAAAGAGGGTCAGGTGGTCGATGGGTGACAGAGAAAAGGAGGGATTAAAGAGAAAGAGAGACAGATGATGAGCGCGATGCTGACACAGACGGGACAGCGAGAGAGCAGAAGTTAAACTCCTCACCGCACCCACACGCATACACAAAACACAGATGCACACTTGTCAGCGCTTGAGAGCAAAGCTAAATGAGAGCGTATCTGAAAGTGTGATGGACAGCGTGACACGTGTGGAAGCCTAAACTGTAGCACAAATCAATGTGGAAAAGTCTGGGACAGGCATGAAGTGGGATACAGCGGGTCAATTCTGGATAATAAGCATAAGGTGCGGACCCTTATACAGTGTGTCTAGTGACTGACTTGGAAAAGCTGGCCAGGCTCTGATTATAGTTTAAAGGACCAAACTAATGACCATAGTTTGGGCCTTTAAAGTCTGGGACAGGCATGAAGTGGGCAAGGATGATGCTGTATAGACTAAGAATGGGATGCAAGCAAACACTAAGAATGAGACTTGGGTATAGGTCTACAGGTAGGGAGGGTTTTAATGAGTATGGGTCAGATCAGGTGGGTCTAAATAGTAGTGGACACTGTATGTTTCAGGCCTGAATGGTAAGCATGGGTTGGGCTGGGCTGAAGTCTAGCGATTATAGTTTGGGCCTTCACAGTGTAATGGTGTAATGGTAAAATGGTGATGAATGCTTGTGACAATGGTTTGGGTCTGGATGGTGAATATGGTTTGTGAATAAGTATTAATCAGGTCTGTATGATGATGGTTGACATTCATGATTGTTATTTGCATCTTGATGGGTAGTATGGTTCGGGCCTGAATGGTGGGAATGGGTCGGGCCTGGATGGCGGTGGACTCTAGTGACTGACTTGGAGAAGCTGGCCAGGCTCTGCACCACCTTGGCGATGAGCGTGAGGGTGCGGGAAGTGCGCTCGGATGGGTACTCCTGCGTCAGGTTAAACAGCGACGGAGACATGATGGCAGGGCACAGGAAGCGCAGGAACAATGAGGAACTGATGAGCCGGTCCGCAATATCCTCACGACCTCTTTCGGCGCAACGCACGCGCCATGAAGCAAACACCTCTTTCAGCTCACGTGGAAACACACTGCAGAGGCCAAAAGAGAGAGAAAATAATTACATATATGAAGAATTAAAAACATAAGCCAACTTCTTCCCAGGATTTCAAGCACCTAAAACAAACCCCGGACTAATGAGTGATGTATCTGAAAACAGTCCTCCTCATCCTGTACCACAATCTTCAACTTCACATACATTTTCCAAAATGTACAGTAGTTCAGCATATCAGGACATTGAATCCCAATTATGCAAACCATTAACTATGCTTTGCCGGAAAGCAGACCTCCAGGAGGAGAGTTGGTCACCACTGTTCTGGAACCGAGTTCAGAAGCTATATTTCTGACAGATTCAATAATATATAAAAAACTACAAAAAACACTTCTTAATGAACTGTCCTGGTGTGTAAGTGGACAATTTATAATGTGTGGATCCCATCCATGGCTACTGTGCCTAATGAAGGGTCCCTTGAATTACAATCTCAGCTGGACAATCTCAGCTTTGTCCTCCCCAAATGGTCTATAGCCATAGTTGACTTGCTTTTTAGATCGTTTTCGAACTGTAAGCCTATGGATAGCACCATTAAACTGGCCCATTTAGGCCTGGACACCCCTCCCTCCCTCGCCTATGAGACAAGGTCCTGATGTCCTTGTGTTTGTCACGCCTGCCTGCAGAGACTGTGCAAGGGAGCTGTCTAATGCCTACGAAACCTTCCCTTGTACACTCAGTCTAGCTTGGTGGTGAGTTCACTAGTGACCTTGGGAGAAACCAGCCGTTGTGGCCTGAAGATCATGCCCAAAGTGGATGCTTGCATAACCTCTCTGATGGTTTACAGATGAGTTCCTCCACTCTAACCTATGCTTCTAAGGCATAAAATGCAGACACTCAGAAAATGTCCATGTTAAGGGACTGATGCACATCTGAGATGCATGATAAAGTATGTTTTTTGTGCTAGTCGTACTTTACTCCTTACTCCAATCTGCTGATATGTAGCCAGTTACCAAGGAATTCCTTTATGCTTTACGCATTATGTATATTTTCTAGGAACCAAGAAGCCTTTTGACTTCTCTAGACCTCAATTCAATGCTGGACTTCAATAGTTCAATCCAAGCTGGTGGGCAGTAAAACCCAGAGTTGTCTACCTGTAGAACCTGATAACTGTTATCATGGCTAGTTCTCCCACCAGCAAGTTTTCATCAGCTAGCGACCAGCAGCTCTGCTGGCCAGCGATGCACTTGTATAACACACTCTGAAACACAGTTATAGCCAGGACTCTGAGCAAGGAAACTGGCCATGGTTCCCCTGCTTCTGTTCCTCCTGATAGGGCTCACTATAGCAGCTCCAATTCAGGAAGGATCTCATGTCCCAGCAGGGGTCAAGCATGGTGCCAGCATCCAGTTAGCCTTCAGTCATGGCTGTCACTGCAAAGTTGGAGCAGCAGCAGATGGCCTGTGAGCTGGCTGTCAAGAAGACTATTCGGCATGCGAAAGCCATGTCAACTGAGACCATGTATGCCCGCTATTGGGAAATATTTTCTGCCTGGTGTGCAAATAGCCACAGTTCCCGTCAGTGCTCATCTTCTGCAGAAAATAGCCTGACCCCATCCAAGTTTGATGTGGCTACTATTTATTATCACAAGAGTGTGGGTGAGCTTTTCTCTGGTTGTGCATAATCTGGCCAGTGCCTTACTTAGGGGTATGTGGCATCTTCTCCGTGTGCTCACTGAGAATTCTGCCATGGGACTAGCCTTTTTTGGGCGGTGTACCCTTTGAGCCACCACTGACTTCAAGTGAATTTTACTGAAGACTACCTGTCTACTGTAGATTACTTCAACCACATGTGTGGGAGACTTGTGTTCATTCAGGATATGTCTGTGGTGGAGTCACTTCTTTCTGAGGTTGTATCTCTTTAATACAAGTTTAACTGTCTTACTTTATAGACAATCATGAGAGTTTATATTCTCTTTTATTTTCAGTCTGACCGCTGAGACATTATGTGACCTGCTGGCAATTATTTGTTTGCCGCAGTGAGAGGAATAAAGGGGCTACTCTGTCAAAACAGAGACGATTCCTATGGTTAAGTCCACTCAGCAGCTGCCACTGAGTCTGGTGTCTCGTCATTCTGCCTGAAGTATCTGTAGACCCGGGGCAGTGTTGGAAGTCTCACTGGTGGGTGTCCTCATTTCTCCTGGTTCTGCACAGTAAGCTCCATCAGATTCACTTGGAGTGAGTCCCATTCCTCATTACTTTGTTGTTATTTCTCACCTACTGTGCTTCATACTGCCTCTGGCAGTCAGTAGGATCAAAACGTAACACTAGTTACAAATGTAAGTGTGATTCTATGAGTTCCAGGAAGCTATCAGAAATGTCAATCACTCTGAAACTGGAAGAAGATTCCTTGGGGGCATCTGTGCAAGCAAAATAATTGTGTTACTGGTTGTGTGACACATCATGTCACTGTATGACTCTCTCAGTATAAGATCTCAATTACAAGGAGTATCCACTATCTTTCACAAGGTCTCAATGGATGATCCCGAGCTCATGCAACAAAAATTGAAAGAGGTGGCATCACTGAGTCAGAAAAAAACTGTCTGTTTCTGTGTGCTGCTGCGAGTCATCCTAAAAAGTCTGAAATAATAACTTACAAGTAAGAGGTGTTGGGATTTTGCAAGAGTTTTTCAGACCCCGTCATAGGTCTTTACATTTTAGCATCCCAGCTACAGGTTCAAATAGAAGGTGTGGCTTGAAATTTAGGTCACAAACACAAAATCAACATTATACTGAAGAAGATAAGACAACAATAGTAGATAATGCACTCACACCCTCGGAAGACACGTGCTTCACCCTCTTTTGACAGAGTTCTCTTTGAATACTCTTTCAAAGCGCTCGCAATCATCAGATTCATCTACTCGGGGAAGGGTCCGAAGCACAACCCACATTACAGTGTTCTTCCACATGAATGCAATTAAACTTCAAGAGGTCTCCAAATCCCCAAAATGTACACAGTGCTGCTTTTAAACCGTTTGAAGCAGGCTTGCTGAAAAATCTGTTACATTACGATCACCATATGCTGTCTGGCATGACACCCCTGTTTAAATTCCACTGGCTCCCTGGACTGGCATGATTCCTTTGAAGATATTAACATGTGCTGTTCACTTTTGTGCTGCAATATATAGTCTTTCATATTCTCACCTAGATATTCAAGTGTCTCACAAATCAATACATCAACCTTTATATAAACTTGGAGTGCACTGAGTGTGACCCTGATTTGCAATATTACATCAACTGGGTGCTCCTGTTATGATTTTTTATCCAGCTCATGATCTGCCAGCTACTGCTTGAACTTCTACCCTGCTTCTTGATGTTCTAAATCTGCCATGTGCTCATAATGTTTGTCTTTCTTCCCATGTTCTTGTAGCTAACATCCTATTTGCGAGTTCGGACCATGCCTTTCACATATGGTGGTGGTATGAGGGAAGACTGACTGAAGGACAAGAGAGAACTCTGACAACTTAGGCTTGAGTTCTGGGCGGCTTCTGTCTGGAGCCAGAAGGCCCCCCTTCTTATAACTGTGGAATCACTGATATAAGACTGAGGAACAGAGAGGAGATGGGGTAGTGAAGAGAAATGTGAAAACTGTGTCACGGGATAACGGAAGGTTGGATTGGAAATTTACAGGACATTTCGACTGTCAAGAGGAGGGGTTTCAGGCCTGGTCCTCCTCCCAGACTTCAGTTATATCCCAATTTAAGTCCAATACAATCAGTTATCTCTGTAATCTCAGGGTAAAAGTAATTTGACACTCATGGCTTATATCTGGATTTTTTGTGTGATTACAGTGTTTAAATATCAATTTAATCTCTGATTAGTGCTACTCAGAGGACGGGTTCCATTGAGTCCTCTTAGGCTTTAGTGCTCATGCCCTGTAGGTAATCTTTTCTTATCACAGTTACCCTTACCTTGCTCATGAGGGGTATGGATCCCCTTCTGAAAAGCTTTATTATGACAATCTATTATAAAAGCACAGAAAGATTTCTTTTCTGTTGGGGTTCTAAGAGCAGGAAAAACAGTTTCAGATCAGAAAAAGTAGAGTGCATGGCAGGGATGTGGAATCAGAGGGAGGAACTGACCAATGGGAGTTGATGATCTTGCAGAGTGCAAGTTCGCAGCACATGCGTAGGTTTGCCTGATGGTCGGGAAGCATGGAGGGTGGAGTGCGCATGGGGTCCACCTCGCAGTTCTCCTCCGACTCGTACAGTGCACGAATGAACTCACCTGCACACAAGAGAGACGCTATCAGCACCACCATCATCGTGCAAGAATTCCTCAACAAACAAGAGAGGAGAGGTGTCATCGTGATCACGTAGTGACTACATCGTCATCATTAGCACAACTTACCAATGGTGTCTTTAAGGTAACGGTGTCCAACAAGTTTGAGGTACTCCTCTATGGCTTTGGTGGCCAGTGTATTCTCCCTGAAGATCATATGCTCTCGGTCCATAAAGCGATCTACCTCGCTCAGCGCCATGTCTGACAGAAAATCCTATGGAAGAAAGAACTCCTGATTCTAAAAGCTAATTCAGACGTACATACAGCTGATAAACGGTGGAATGTTTCTCAATAACACACCTCTAAAGTTGTACAACATACAGTAGTCTGCGTTACACCCCGTATTAGGATTTTTCGAAATCACTGCTGTCACACCCTGATAGGTTGGGGCCTATTTGCACTTCCTGTCTGGTTGTCAGTGGATCCTCTGAGTTACGAGGTTGTTAAGTAATCAATAATGCTACATCTGTGCTACAAACAAGCTGAGACTCTTGCACATTAGAATGACAGGAATATAAGCTTTACGGAAATCCAGAGAGACGATGAGGTAGTTAAAGTTTTCTGTTTTTTTTTATTATTTTTGTGATTTTCAAATTTGTTAGCTTCAGATAGCAAGTTAATTATCTTGTGAACTCAGGATAACAACTCTGTTATTTTAGGATAATGAGTTAATTATCTTGTGATCACAAGATAAAGATGTTATCTTGAGATAACAAGTTAATTATCTTGTGATCTCAGGATTACAACTTTATCTCGAAATAACGAGTTAATTATTTTGTCATCTCAAGATAACGACTTTGTTGTTCTGAGAAAATGAGTTAATTATCTTGTGATTGCAAGATAAATTTGCTATCTTGAGATGACAAATTAATTTTCTTGTGATCTCAGGATAACAACTTTGTTAACAAGATTAGTAACTTGATGTTAAGTAACACAAAGTTATCTTGAGATAAAGAGTTAATTATCTTGTGATCTCAGGATAGCAACTTTGTTATCTTGAGATAACGAGTTAATTATTTTGTCATCTCAAGATAAAGATGTTATCTTGTGGTAACTAGTTAATTATTTTATGATCGCAAGATAAAGATGTTATCTTGAGATAACGGGTTGATTATCTTGTGATCTCAAGACAAAGATGTTATCTTGAGATAACGAGTTAATTATCTTATGATCGCAAGATAAAGATGGCGGGCGGGTGAGCTGTCGTTCAGGGGGTTGGTGACACTTAATTATATTGTGATCTCAAGATAACAACTTTGATAACTCGTTATCTCAGTATAACAATGCAGAAAATTATAGCAACAGCTCATGGCCTCTCTGGATTTCCATAAAGTTTACTATTAATCTTCAACATACAACAATACCAGCTGCTCAAACCGAAGCCTAAAGCTTGCCAAAGCAACTTAACTACCACACTTGACAAATCTTGCTGGTGAGGCTGAGCTTGCTTATTTCGTTAAATGTGCAGCAGTGTCAGCCAAATTTGGATTTTGACTTCTTAATGACCTTTTAATTTAGAGGATCTAGGGATATTTGGAGGAAAATATTCAAAAGGATTCAAATGCACTGGTTTTGGAACATTTTCTTTACAGCAGAGCACAACAGTAGTGAATTTCAAAAACGTTCCTCATAGAGAAATCTAATATGAGCATGACACCAGTTATAGAATGACAAAATGACTTCACAGGTCTACGATGTTCCAAAAGGTCTGGCTCACCTAAATAAGAGACTAAAAAATCCAGGGGGAAAAAATCTAAAACCCATATTTAGGCAACACGTACACAAACAGAATCAGCACCACTACTGTGAGTGTCCAGGACTGGACCCCTGCTTTAACCCTTAACGCACTCACCTTAGCCTTGCCGGTACTCTGCAGGATGTGCACCAGGGCACAGGCTACTTCCTCCTTGCTCTTGACACTCAGCAGTGGCTCCAGCACGGCGCACAAAGTGCGGTAATTATTCGTCACGTACTCCGCAAACTCCTTGTACAGCTCCATGGGCAGGATGCTCATGGTCTGGTAGCGCGACTTGAGCCGCAGTGAGGCATTAATGACCTTGCCACTGCCTACACCTCCACCCTTGGCAAGAACGCTGGGCTGGATAACCGGGTACCACTGCTCCACAAACTGCCGGCCGGTGATGCTCGAGATGGGAATGCTGACCAAACCCAGGTAGGTGCTCTTCTCCTGCCAGAAACATGCACAAGTCAATCATGTAGGCCAAGTTTTATATTTATATCCTATGCTAAAAATGAAATAAATACCTTTGAAACAATTCCAACTGGTATAACACCCACTAGTGTCTTCGCTCGAAATACTGGCATTACAGATTTTGCAGTGAGCACTACTGCTTGTCAACCCACACTGCTGACCTATTGCTTGCTTTAGTTAAGTTCTATCCGCTGATATGCATGCATGCATCACTCAGTAGCGCACGTCAAAAATGCTTCATGGTATCTCTGATAATGTGTTTAGGCGCAGTATTGGTGCTGTTTTGGTATCAGTGTGACCTTCTAAACAATAACTACTACTCAGACCATGGCTAAGCTGCTACGCTTGTGCTCAAACCTTGCGTCTCTTCTTGTCCGTCTCCTTGTAGAGGTGCAGACGCAGGCTGCGGATGGCGGGGAGGTTGTTGAACTCGAAGTGCTCGCCCCAGAACACGGTGTCGGTGCGAGGCTTGCTGGTGGTGCGTGCGTACAGCATGTCATCCAGACACAGCTCGCAGTAGTAGCGCTTTTTAGGGGGGAGGTCCCGCGCCTCGATGATCCACAACTTAAGAACATTGTCCACACGTCGACTGTTATCCTGCAATGATAATTGGAATTGGAAATTGAGAAAACGGAACACTGAGAATGCGCACAAACCCATCCTTCAATTTAATGGAGTATTTTTACCCAAAAATTCGTGATACTAATTAAACTGCCAGTTATGCAAATGGGATCATGCTATGTGGTTCCCATTAGCTTTCATTTGTTGCCAATGTCAGTCCCATTTCTAGCTGAACAGTTCCTTTAATGAAGTTTCTGTTAAGCAGTCTGCTGATGCATTTTCATCATCAAAAATGCTGCAGTCTTCTAATGCAGGATAAACTGATAAACTGATACACATTTCTCCAACGCCAGAAAATCTGTACAAATTATGGTGACTTAAGTGTGAAAACCTTTTATTTTTAGGTGGGGGGGCCTGTAGCCTTAAGGTAGGAGAGGTGAGCCAGCAACAAAAAGGTTGTGGGCTGAAGGCTGTGGGTTCCCCACTGACTGCATGCCTTAGGCAAGGCACATAACCTCAACAGCCCCAGGTGGCATAACACTGCTGGTAGTGCTGTCTTGCTTCCAGATTGGACATATTTAGGCAACAAAATGACAAATTTCCCTTCCACACAAGAATTTGGGTTCTAGACACTGATTATTTTTCGTTTGGCTCTGTTGGTTTAACACTACAATGGATGAAGTGCAAATTAGACATTTTGCAGAGATACAAGCGCTCAGCTACTTTTACATTTGCCTTCATTAAACAACATGTATTTTCGCTAATTTCACTATAAAACCTAGATACATCCCTCACTTGTATATCGCTGTTGTCGGAACAAAACCTTGTCTCTCCAAAATGGGTAACTTTACAGGAGAAGGAAAAACCATTCTTTACTTTTAATGTAAGTCAATGGAACCAGACTTTTTTTCCAAGTAATTTTGGTTCATTTCTTTTGGTCCATTCATCATGACATTTACACACAATGTAAAGGGCAACAGGCATTTTCACATTATGTGAAAAACTGAAAAACAACAAAATTGGAGATACTAGATTTTCTTCCAACAGCAGTGATATGATAAAAATATTATATCCATTAAGTTGCATGTTGCATAAAGAAAGATGGTTAATATTTACACGTAAGGCAACCAGAGCAATAAAAATAAACCTCAGTCTCTGCTTCTTTATGATCAGCTCATTTATGCACACATCAGTTTGAATTTGTCCCAACCTTTCAAAAATATGCTCTGTGGTCCATCTGATAAAATCAAATGCTTTGCTATTGCTCACCTGGCAGTATAAGCAGCAACTTGAATGATATGATCGTCTGTAAAATGAGAAAAAGTGCACTCTGGCGTTGAATTGCCTCATTTGGTTTGGTCCAGGGGTCGCAACCCAAATGTTAAGAAGAATTTTGTTCTTTCAATAAAAATCAAACCACATTGGGAGCCACAACATTTTATGTCCATTTTACCATCTTGGCTGCAAATATGTCTCAGTATGTGCTGATGTACTAGTCTAGTACGGGCTGAAAAGTACAATGTAAATGAAAACGCAGACTTACTTTGCTCCGCTTTAAGCTTTAGCTCAGCTGTAGTCGCTTTTCTCGCATCTCTGGCAGGAAACTTTTTCTCAAAAGTAGAATAGTTTCTTGTAAAATATCTCTCAACGTTCGACTTTTTACTTTTTCTCATTCGTGGCTTCTTGTTCGAATTTTCCGGTTCCATCTTAAATGGTGTCAGAATGTAACTGCAGCACCATTTAAGATGGAACAGGAAAATTTAAACAAGAAGCTGAATTCAGCTTTGTGACTTTTTAGTGTTTGACAGTTTCTTGTTGCAGATTAAACGTATCAGGAAACCAGCTGGAGTGATTATAAATGTAAATAAGTCCATTTGGCTCTAAATTATTGATGTTCGTCTTAAATCTTTTCGTTGGCTACTTGCTAGGCAAGATCCTTTTCTGTGTTGCTATGGTGATCAGAGATCTGCGCACCAACGTTTAAGGTTAAGGTCGGTGAATTAGCAGTTATATGCCGCGTTAACTCCAGTGTTTAAGGCCATTTATTGTTAAACTGTGTTGAACGATCAGCAGAGCTTTATTTTACTTTTATCTACAAATCTAATTCTGCTGTGGAGCCACAACAGGGCAGTAAAAGAGCTGCATGTTGACGACCGAGACCTGTGATTTTTGGCCATTTGTGTTTCCGTCGTTTGCTGTGCAGTTGAGTACGGGTGGAGTGTTCACACTCATCAATACAAACTGAACTATAGAAAAAAACTGATTTAGGTTCACATCAAACAAGATAAGCAACTTTTAGATTACAAGAAAAAAAACAAATAATTAGAATGAGGTGATTTTTCGAACAAATTAATTAACAGTCCAGCATCATTGCAAGTTATTTTGTTATTTCAGTATCAAGTTGTCCTTGAGGAGAAGGGGGGGTGAACAACTCTTTGTTCATTTAAAAATGAATTAGTCGCGCTGGAGTACGTGTCTTATCAGAGATCCCTTTAATAGTTTTGCTACTCGCTTCATGAAACCCAGTAAATGACTTTCATTCGAAATCCACAAGAGCTCTGTTTTCCTCTTTGTATTACCTGTTACTAAAACACAAGAAATACTGTCTTTGAGGTTTTGTTCTTAGAAGGCATTTGATGTTTTTAACCAAATGAATTCAAAGACTCCCTTTGCACAAAGCAACCTGCAGCTTGCACAGGTGTTTGACTGACTGGTGGGCCTTTTTAACCATACTGACATTTCGTATGAAAAGAGTCTGTCAGTCTCCTGGACTTTGCTTGAAATTACAGGCTGACATTTTGCCATCATTGTCTGACATTCTGGAAGGACACAACCACAACCAGACAGCTGAAGACAGCCAGACAGCCTAACAGCCCTGAAAATCCTAGTTTCGGGTAAAGACATGGCAAACTCCAGCTTTCATTTCCATGCAAGAACAATTCTCTGACATAATGCATCACCAAAGTTGAATTAGCTCCTGATGAGGGGATCCATGTTCCACAAGACGATGAATACAAGTAATTTGTGAATTTACAAAAAATACAGGTGCACTACAAAGCACACTGCCCACTGCTGTTGAATTTGATCAGATTTACTTCACACACTTTTGCAGTGCAATCATACTGGTTCTGAATGCTTTTTCAGAACTGCAGATTTCTGGAATCAAGTCTAACTCAGAATGTAAAAGGTCTGCCAAAGTGAATGCAGTGCTAACACATTAAAGCAACACATTTTTAATGTCACTAGCTGTATTAACACTGTCAACGCATGTCCTCCAAACCATCCGCAGTGGTGCAGGCTAAAGCCTAACTGCTCACGTGCTGTATGCCACTGTGATAATATCTGCGATTGTAGCCCTCTCATTCAAAACAGCTTTTAAATGGCTTTTAAAGCAACATCTTCAGCAGACGACACTGGACTGCGCTCGATTGGGTAAATCAATGAGCAGCAAACTAACAAAGGCAAAAGCAAAGAGGAAAGCTCCTATATGAGCTGTATAAACGTGCCTGAGAGCATAAATTCAAATTTCAAATTATGTCAAAAACTGAAAAACATCAAAAATACATGGAAGATACAATATATATGGATCATGGATCATTGTACAAACGAGTTTGTAAAGAGTAAAGAGTTTAAAACACATATTAGACTTTCAACTGACCTGAACTTTTTTAAACAAAGTTTTTTTTTATTTAAAAATTTTCATATTTCGCCTTCACTTTAAAAGAAATAAAAACAAAAAACAAAAAAAAACTTAAAAAACTGTAAAAATTCAAGTATTATTTTCTCATGTTGAAATGTAGGGATTAGGGCTGGGACAGACACCTTAGTGTAATCTGTTACATTAACAGATACTAAGATTGTTTTCTTCCTTTTCCTATAAAGTTACAGTTAGACACAAGGTTTTCTTATAATAATGATGGTTTTTGGGAAATGTTTTGTGTTTTCGCTGTGGTGCTGTCAGCCGTGTGTTTCTTACCTTGTTAGGTTTAACAGCTCGTTGCAGGTTCTCTATCCACTTGTCCCTCTCAGCAGCCGAACGGCAGGCAAAGCACTTTGTGCCCGAGGCCGTTGTTACCTGAAGGTCAGGCACATGCATACGCAGGTGATGTTCAGGTGGTCAGATGTGAGACTGGAGTTTAGATTCTTCTGTTCCTGCAATCACACTCACCTCAAAGCAGTACTCCTGGCCGAGGATGCTGGAGTGGACGGGTTTGATGATGGCATCCTCGTCCAGCGTGAGGTCCAGCGCCTCGGCCGCGCTGCTCGGGGACAGCAAAGACTCATGGGAGTGAGACTCCTTAAAGCTCTGCATCAGGCGCGTTCTGCAGACAGAGGAGGGTAAAAAGAGAATGTGGGAGAGATGGAGAGAGAGGAGGAGCAAGAAAGAGGGACAGAGAAAGAGGGGGGAGAGAGAAAGAGATAAAGAAAGCGAGGTTGAGAGAGAGGAAATGAGACAGAGAGAGAGAGAGAGAGAGTAATAAAAATACACTGATTACAGCTTGATGGTTTCCTTCTTCTTCCTAATGGTGTTGGATGTCAGGTGTTGTTTTTGTGCATTGGGGTTTATTATGACCCGCCCGAGGAATCGGTCTGTCAGATGACCAAAAAAGCTCAAGGGCATCTTGGACACAAATATAACTACTAAATGGAGGTCAGGTAAACACTGGCAGCACAGAATTCTTTATTTTTGGAAGATTCACTACAGCAGCCCAAAGCTGGTACCCATCTGAATCTTTTATCAGGGCCCTTCATTAATTTATAACGGTGTCCAGAGGCTCCCTGAAATACGTCCAGACCATCCTGATCAGGCTGAACAAAACCTCATATCTGAACCAACAGTGCTGAACTAAAGTTTCGCTTTGCATGGTTTCATTCAAATTAAGTAATTTTTAGGTAACAGATTTTTTAAAGTGTACTTATTTTTAAATAATATATTTCACTCAGGCGGCACGGTGGCGCAGTGGGTAGCGCTGTCGCCTCACAGCAAAAAGGGCCTGGATTCGATTCCCGGCCGGGCGACCGGGGTCCTTTCTGTGTGGAGTTTGCATGTTCTCCCCGTGTCCGCATGGGTTTCCTCCGACGGTCCAAAGACACGCAGTCAGGCCAATTGGACATGCTGAATTGCCCCTAGGTGTGAGTGTGTGTGTGATTGAATATGTATGTCTGTCTGTCTGCCCTGCGATGGACTGGCGACCTGTCCAGGGTGTATCCTGCCTTCCGCCCAGTGACAGCTGGGATAGGCTCCAGCGACCCAGAAGGATAAGTGGTTTAGATGATGTATGTATGTAAATTTCACTCAAATAAGTTATATTTTCAGACAATAAATGTAACCAAACAGAAAACATCAGCAAATTTCTATCAAGTACAAAGTTTATTAGCTACTTCGAATTGCTTTGTTAATTTACCCAGAAAAAGTGAGCCAAACTTTTTTTTAAGGTTAACTTAAGCTTTAGAGTTTATAGTGTACACATTAAACATTAGCGTTCAAAAGTTTGGAATCACTTGTCATATCAATAATTGCTGCTATTCAGTAATAACTTATCGCTGCTGTCGGAACAAAACCTTGTATCTCCTTCTCCTGTAAAGTTACTATTTTCGGGATACAAGGTTTTGTTCCGATAACAGCAGAAAGTATTTTAAGTTTTTAGGAACATCAAAAAAGTTATTAAGTGATAAATAATTTACTGCAATTACATCATTGTATTAATTTCCTAATTACTATATTAAGTTATCTGCTTGAGTTTTTAAATACAATCGCCACTTTTTAAACACGATGCATCCTAGATGTTAATCTTCACTTCAGTTTCACTGTTCTGCAGCTTTCTCTATCATCTATACCTCATAGTTCATTAAGTGACCCTTATTAGTCCCACAACGGGGAAATTTCACTTCCGCATTTTGACCCATCTGTGCAGCAAAACACCACAATCACACTAGTGAACGCAGTTGGGCAGTGAGCACACGTATCCAGAGCGGTGGGCAGCCCTATCCAAGGCCCCCAGGGAGCAGTTGGGAGTTAGGTACCTTGCTCAAGGGCAATTAAGTCATGTACTGTCAGTTCAGGGGCTCGAGCCAGCGACCTTCTGGTCACAAGGCTGGTTCTCTAACCTCCAGCCCACGACTTCCCCTGGACACATCTATCATTTCTTCATTTTTTAACAGATTCCTACTAAAAAAGTTTAAATCAGTTTAACTTTTACTGAAAACACTGATCCCAAACTTTTCGATTGTGAGTCCAAACTTTGCATAGTGCATATAATGTGTGTTTAAAACACAACCGTTTAACCTCTATTTCTCATATTGCTTACAATATCTAACACAGTACCTCAGTGATATTCCTGTCTACTGCAGGGCGAAGTGACAAATAAACTCATTGTGTGAGTTCTGCTGTGCTCAGAGCATTGTGTATTCCCACTGCAGCACTATCGGGTCTCACTGCTGTCATGCAGCTGACAGGGTGAAGGTCACCGCACACCTCCGCTGATACAGGTCAGTCACACCAGGCTGTTATTAACCTCAACAGTCTCGCTAGAGAATTCAGCACTGAGCCCAAGCAGACATCACACTGATGGAGGAGATATGAAGATCTCTGTCTTTCAGTGAAGAAATTGCAGCAGAGGGGGGATGATTTATGTTTGGTGTCAGTATTTGTGACTGTGTGTCTGCACTAGGGGCTGCATAGACTGCTCAACAAATATATCCAGTAGCTGGTGGTCAGGGATAGTGGTCAGGTACAGTGCCTAACTTTAGTAGCGAAACATGGTGGTGGCAGAAGCAACAGTAAGTCTTACATGGTCAGTTGGGATCTCATAACGAGAATACACATCTGGGGACAACTTGTTAAACTTTTAGTGCTGCTATTGAAGATATGCCCCCACTAAAACCCACCCCAACTCCTCTAGCCAGTGCTATTTTAATGTCAGGAGTAGTCGACAACATAAGCATAACAAGCTAGCCAGTGAACGCTATTATTAGCTAATGTATACTGGTAAAAATGAATGTTTCAGAGTTTTGTGAGGGGACCAACTTACATTATATCCTTATATAAACTTATATATACATACACAAACAATGTTAATGAGCACACCATCACCCCCTACGTTAAGCTCCGCCTTGAATTAGTTTAAAAGCAACACACTCAGATTGTTCCCTCTCTGATAAGTCTATGTTTTCACCCGCATTTGTTCTACTATTTCTTACGTCTTTGTCCCCAAATGTTCTCATTGCGAGATCAAATCTGGACCCATAAGACTAAAGCAGTTAGCATGTAGCATTCAATTTGTGTAAGACTACTCAAAAACCAACTAAAATACACCATATGTCCAAAGGTCTGTAGACACCAGCTTGGATACACTGTTAAAAATGAGAGATCAGCTCAAATCAAAATGATATAGTGACTGATTACATGGCTTTTCTTGAGTTGACTCAACTTGAGGACACCAGAGTTCACACAACTCAAACTTCTTAGTTGAGTCAAAAGTTCTCTTAATTTTTTAGTTCTGCTTCTCAGTTTGGCAAATAAGATGAACTTGTCTTTATACTCAACTTCCCCACCAGCCGGGACTCTTTCCACACAATCCCGCTAGACGTTTTCCCTCTTGGCTACACCTTTACGGATGGCTGTGGCATCACTGGGGTTCAAACTCACAACCTCCTGTTGGGGTGACGGCTTCGTCCACTGAACCACTCAGGAACACATGAAGCAGCTCAGATTGTGTGTCTACAAATGTTTGATATACTGGGAAAAATACCTGTTGTTCTAACTTTAAAGCAGGGCATCGTCTCATGTGGTGCAGCTGTCTAATAATTCATCCCAACAGCAGGAGGTTGTGAGTTTGAATCCCAGCAATATCACAGCTGTCCAGATCAAGAAGCCCAAGAGGAAAATATGCCAGATGGGGCTGTGTGATAGAAGGAGTGCCAGCTAGTGGAGAAACTGAGTAAAAAAATGCAAATTCAGTTTTGTTTATCTAACTGAAATGCAGACCTAGAAACAGTAGCTGGGAGAACTTTTGACTCTAAGAAGTTTGAGTTATGTGAACTCTGGTGACCTGGTGAACAACTTCACAATGCAAAGAACCCTTTAATCATGCAAAGGGTTCTTTAAGTGTTCATAGTTCTATATAGAACCATGTTCTTTACTTTTTTGATGGTGTGTAGTCAACTAGTGAAATGAATGGTCATGCAACCTCATGTGTGCAAGTGCACGCTGTTTACCTCTCCTGGTCAGCACTGCGGAATCGTGGGAGAATCATGTGGCGAAAGCTTCCGGTACGATCAAGTTTAGGCTGGCTCTTCGCTCGCTTAATTGAGCTTTTCAGACGGCGGCTAAGAAAGCTCTGACAGACAGACAGACAGACAGACAGAGTTTGCAGTCAGACAGACAGCTCAGAGACACTGATTTGCCGAGAGAGGCGAGGTTTGCTTGTATTGCATAAAATCATACAGTTTGATAATTAGAAGCCAAAGAAAACAAGCTGTGCTAATCTAAGCCTTCGAGTCTCTGGGGGTTTAACCACGCCATGTTACAAAAACACATGACAAACGAGGGAAATAGACTCATTATTCTCAACAAGACATCAAGACTTTTCTACAAACAAACACAGCTTTCCCCCCTTGCAAAAAAAAAAAACCAAAACAAATAAAAAATTGACGGAAAGCAAAACAATCACTTTGGTAAAATGGTACAAATGAAAATGTGGCTCACCGCTGGGCTCTAATGGCTTGTCTGAAAGAGATCAAGCTTCAGAGTGATGCATGGAAATTAGCACCAATATAAACCATGTTAGTGGATGAGGCTACGGCAGAAAAAGGCCCTGAAGGAGTCGTGGTTTAGAAATATTCTATTCTAGCTTTTAATGAAACCTTTAGGACAAATACTGCCTTCAGGTCTTGTTGGAAATATCGGATTTACGAGATCGATGCACGTGAACACACAGCACAGTGTCATATTTACTAGTGGGAATTTTTTTTAATGAGCCCAGAGTTTCCGAATTGGATTGTTGACAAAAAGCAATGATAGCCGCTGATAAACTGGCTGTATTTCAGTTATTAATCAGCCACAACATTAAGACTGCAGGCTGAAACCATCCACACATGGAAATACAGATATAATGAATATACATAGTCTCTCTTTAATAACAGATATAAAAATAAAAGTAAACCAAAAACATTATTTCCACTTATTTCCAACCAAAACCACTTCGAGTCGTACTTATGACCTCCGAAGTCGTAAGTAAGAACTTTCAAATAGGACGTGGAGGCAGCAAAACTCTACACTACCCAACATTTTTAATCTGATCTTTTATCTCTTTATCGTTCTATTTGAGTTAAAGTACGAAAGTATTTACTTTTAAATCCACTTTGCCTAAATTAAAGGTAAAAAAATTCCCCCATGCCATAAAATTAAACCCTGAAAAGTTGTCAGGGGAGGGCCCGGGCCTAGTTACAGTTGCTAAGCTTTGTTTGGACCATTGGTATTTAGGGGAGGGGTTTAGTGAAAGGTGTGCTATGATTGGTTCAATACAGTGCAGATACTCAAAGTAGGTACTTGAGTACAACAATGAAGTAAATCCACCGTGTTTATCTATATTTATTATTATGTTTATTTACACATTAATATTTGCAAATGTACTACACTTTAAATCACGTTTATGTTTATAATGCGCTACATAAAACTTGCCTAGCCTGGTCTGTTCACATGATTTAACAAAGATATACAATAGTAAAGTGATATTAATTCAAAGCTACGTTTTCTCAAGTAATTATAATAATATTATAATATATATTAAATATAATATATTAATATAATACATAATATTAATTCAAACTGAATATTCTAAAGTAATTACAATGTAATGTATTTTACAAACTACATGCTAAATTGTAAGATAACTAATTAAAAACTGCGTTCTAAAGCAATAACAATGTAATAAAATTCAAAGCTGAACATTGTACAATAATTATAAAGTAATATAATTCAAAAATTCATATATTCTACAATAATTTTAAAGCAATACAATTCAAAGCTGAGTTTTACACAATAATTACAAAGTGATAATTACAAAAATAAAAGTTCTAAAGTAATTATAAAGTATTGTAATTCAAAAGTAAATATTCTAGTCATTATGAAACAGCATTAATTCAAAATTGAATATTCTACCATAATTTATAAAGTAATATAACTCAAAAATGAATATTCTACAAGAAATAATACAGTAATATAATTCATAAATGAATATGCTACAATAATGTATAAAGTAATGTATTTCAAAACTGAATATTCTAAAGGGTTTACAAAGTAATATAGATCAAAAACTAAAGTCATAATTAAAAACTGAATATTCTACAATAATTACCCAATGATATAATTTTAAATAATAAAAATTCTTAAATAATTATAAAGTATTATAATTCAAAATTTATTATTATAATGTAATTATGAAGTAGCATTAATCCAAAAATGAATATTCTACAATAATGTATAAAGTAATATAATTAAAAACAGAATATTCTACAATAATTACCCAATAATATAATTTAAAAAAATAAAAATTCTTAAATAATTTTAAAGTATTATAATTCAAAAATAAATATTATAAAGTAATTATAAAGTAATATAATAAAAAAATATTCTGCAATAATTCATAAAGTAATACAATTCAGATATGAATATTCTAAAGTAATTATGATGTAGCATTAATTAAAAATTAATATTCTATCATAATTTATAAAGTAACATATTTCAAACCTGAATAGTCTACAGTTATTATGAAGTCACATCATTCCAAACTGAAGTATAAAGTAACATTCACTCAAAATATTCTAATAATGCAATATTTCAAACACTCACTAGTGATTAAGTTTCCTGTGATGCTGTTCATACAGTGGACATTAAAGCTGTACTGAACTGTAAGACGCAATAAGACGTGTTTTTACCCCAAATGACCACCAGATAGCACTGCAGCTGAATCAATCACTGATGCTGTTTCTGGCTTGGTGACTCATACTCAGATACTGCCTACGCTCTCTCTCTCTCTCTCTCACTCTCTCCCTCTCCCTCTCCCTCTCTCTTTCTCTGAAAGCACTGCAGTTTGGTTGTGCATGTTTAAAAGCACCTGCTTTCCTCTAATTTCCTGCAGCCTCAATCCAACATCGTGTCAGCGTCAGCTATAATTATCTCATCTGAAAACACTGACCGCAGTCAACTAAACACAACTCTTTCCAAACGCAAGCCAGCAAACTTGGTAGGCGAGTTCAGCAGTGCCCTCATTAAAGCTCGTGTTTTTTTAGCTGAGACAGATGGAGGGCGGACCAAAGTCCACCTGAAACGCGCCTCACGCACTCACTACACCACTGAGAGATTTCTCCAGACGATTAATAAAAGTGGAATTTTCTATTCAACCCTGATGAAACACCAAGAATGAAAACCTGCAGGGCTGCAGCACTGCTCACTGTAGCGATGTCCCTGCTCCGGCACCATTCGGTCCAGTTCCAAATATTTTTGGAGTCCCAAAGTCCAAAAAACGATCTAGTCATGTCCAGTTTCACCCAATAGCAAGGTCTTCCCCGTCACGTGATGCTGCCGAGCCTGGAGAGGTGAGGGAACGTGCTTCCTCCGAGACACGAGACTTTTCAGACTGTCGCTAATGTAGCGTCATTGAACAGTGGAGGAGAACGCTAACTGCCAATTCTGTTCTGTCGGCTAACAGACGCCCACACTGGCCAGCATCTCCCTAAGTGATGGGAGGAGAGGGGACCATCCTACCCACTCAGAGAGAATGTAGACAGTTATGATCTCTTGGACTCCTGGCCATGGGCGGCTGTGGCATCTCCAGGGTTCAAACTCGCGACAGAACCGATGCTTAGTCACCACTCAGAAGCCCAGTGCTGACTGGTGGTCATCAGCTTCCATTACCTGTTAGCTGCATTAGCCTCACAGTGCAAAAGAAGCACTCTTTGGGGACCTTAGCTTTAAAGCAGAGTGTACAGTGGGGCAAATACTAAACAGTGTAGTGCTACGGCCCTGCAGGACTTTGCGGTTTGAAAAGTGTGTGATGGTTTGGGAATAAACTGGACTTCTTATGATGCAATGATAAGCCATGTGACCAGCAGTAAGCCAGTAATAAATGATATACATGTTAAACATGAAAATATGGCTTAACCCCTTAAAGGCCAGGGCCCACTGGCAGGCCCAAAGTTAAATTACACACTTCTATAACCTAAGAGTAGCTCAGCCAGTTTGCACTGAAATCCCTGTAGTTACTGAGTAATAAGCCTTACTATGTAATAATGATTGAGATTTTGAGATGTTACGGTATCTGTAAACCCAGTTCTAAGGCTTAAATGACTCTGAGCAGTGGGCGTGGTTTGGTGTGATGATGAAGAAGGAGGCGGAGTTAATCACAGGTTGGCGGCTTGTCTGGGGAGGAGCAGTGGGCGTAGTTTGGTGTGATGATGGAGGAGGAGGCGGGGTTACACGCTGACTGGCGGAATGTCTGGGGTGGGGTTTGGTGTGATGATGGAGGAGGAGGCGGGGTTACTCACAGACTAACAGAATGTCTGGGGAAGAACAGTGGGTGGGGTTTGGTGTGATGATGGAGGAGGAGGCGGGGTTACTCACTGACTGGCGGAATGTCTGGGGCGGGGTTTGGTGTGATGATGGAGGAGGAGGCGGGGTTACTCACAGACTAACAGAATGTCTGGGGAGGAGCAGTGGGCAGGGTTTGGTGTGATGATGGAGGAGGAGGCGGGGTTACTCACAGACTAACAGAATGTCTGGGGAGGAGCAGTGGGCGGGGTTTGGTTTGATGATGGAGGAGGAGGCAGGGTTACTCATGGACTAACAGAATGTCTGGGGAGGAGCAGTGGGCGGGGTTTGGTGTGATGATGGAGGAGGAGGAGGCGGAGTTACTCACGGACTGGCGGAATGTCTGGGGAGGAGCAGTGGGCGGGGTTTCCATGCTTCTCTGCCTCACTGTGGCAAAGCTCTTTCGGCGAGCACGAGCGTGCTCTATGGAAAGAGAGAGAGAGAGAGAGAGAGAGAGAGAGAGGGGAAGCGAAAAAAGTGTGAGGGAGAGAGACATAGAGGGAAATAGAGAGAGAGAGGGAGAGAGAAGGAGAGAGAGAGAATGAAAGGCTAATTATTTGGCTTTAGGGGCAAACAAGCAGAGGACAAGTGAACAGCAGTGACTTTTCGCTACTCAAAAGATCCAAAAATAGGCTAAACGCACACACACACACTCACACACACACACACACACACTCACACACTCACACACACACACACACACACACACACACACACACACACACACACACTCACACACACACA